AAAGAATGACATTTTATTATATTGAATAAATGTGAATATAATTCTTGAATTATCTATATGTTATTTTTCAGTTGAAAAATATTTTGAGATTTCGTTTTAAACATTTTTTCCTTGAGATACCTTATTCAAAGCAGCAAATTTAATTAGATTAAAATTAAATAAAGTTTACATAAACGAAAAATTTTCATGAAAGTTTATCGGACATATGAGCGGTGCTCATGTACAGTATGTTACTTTAGAATGTAATTCATTACAAATAAAATAAATAAATAAATAAAATAAATAAATAGTGATATTGAAAAATTATTATTATGTCTTAATTCTGTTTCTACGAATGTAAAATTAACTTTAAAAGTCTTGATTCAATTTATTCTTTATCTTTCTCAAATCAATTCTAAGAATTTCAAAAATTAGAAAAAGATGAACAGCAATTCAAACAAGATCAAAGTTAATCGTACACGATTCGTTGCGCCATAAAAGTCGATATTCATAGTCGGTTCTTATTTCAAGATCGTAAGCAATGTGTTAACATGGTCTATAAGGCGGCCATCTGATTGGTTCGTACACCTCAAGATTGAACTTAAGATAGTTTTGAATATAAGAACTGACTATACATACTGAAATGATTTTGTGTAAACAGATCAAGATTGGCATCTTTTTTCATGACATAATGAAATGGTCTGTGTTTCTTTTCGATCTTGTTGTTTCTTTAAATTTGAAAGTTTGTTATTCTCCATATATATTTCTATTTGAAATTTTATAGTTATTCACTATTGAAAGTTTTTAATAAGAGACACAATGTAATCATTATAATATATAAATTTACAGGAAATTGTTTTCACATTAAGATCCTTTATTTTCCAATTGTTGTATTGTTCACGTCGTGGTTTAAAATGAATATACTTTAATACTGAATCATTTTTATCTTGATTGTTTGTCAATATTAATTCTCCAGAGCTAATGATGAGTATATTATGATCTATTCAATTATATTCTTTGTTATATCTGCAAATTTGAGAATCACTGTTACAAAAATAAACTTCATATTCATTTTTTAAAATACTAATTATTCATTTTGGTTTCTTGAAAATAATTAGTGCCTTTTAATTTCAGGTTAGACCTCGTACCAGCTCATCTGTATCGCCTCACTTTTTACTAGCACTTAATATTTTTTTCTTTTTTTTTGTAATTTTAACATCGTTTAAATTTAATTTGTAAGTGCATACAATAAAATTATTATTGTTATTATAAATCAATATAGATTAAACATAAGTTTCACGAACCCAGCATTAGTAACTGTATTACTGTATTAACTGGGGTTCTACAATGAGAGGAAGTCTAATGCATGATTTACAATGGACAGTAACAATAGTTGATTAAGGAGTAAAAATCGATCAATCATAGTTGATTATTTTTCTCGCATTTAATTATTAGTCGATTTCTATTCGACGCCTACTCCTTAATCACTACTGCTACTGCAGTGTAGATCATGCATTAAGTAGTCCATAAGTGGTCCTAAGTCTTAATCAGTGAAGTTGCAAACTTGTACGACTAGGATTAAAGTTGCACCAACGTTACTTTGACTTTAAGCAAAACTTAAAACTAAGAGATAGGGTCTAAGCACAAGAAGTCTTCAAGAGACTGCAATAAGTCGTATGTCATACATTGAAGCTTGTACGTTACTTACGTCCATAACTTAAGTCTCCAAGTGTTACGACAATTCTTGTGCTCAGATCCATAAGATCCGACCGTGTAAATGTACAACATACATATGGTAGCGCCAATTATCGGTCAAAGTTAAATGAAAATAATAAATGTTGTTGATTTTTACATTTAATTATCAGATGTGATTGTACGTTAAAACATTCGGACATTAATCACAATCGATCTAGACGCTAATAACATAAATATGACGAGGAGCCGAAACATTCGGACATTCCTATATATATATATATGAAACAACTCCCCTACAATTAATTCGGTAAATTTATTGCGAAAAATATTACCTCAGCTAGAATAAAACTCTCGTTTTAAAGCAAAATAAACACAAGAGAGCTTTAAGCTCCCCTTGCTTAAAGTCAAAGTAATATTAGTGCAATCAGGCCTAAGACTGATTAATACTTTTGATTACCGATTCATTGCAGAACCCCCATTATAAATTTTAATGTCAGCTTCAAAATTATACAAGGATAAAATACTTCATTGTGCCGTGTCATCTATGTTTCTTGTTAGCAAAATCTACTTACAATTGTATCTTTAATAGGCTCGTCTAATGTATTAAATTCTGGTTCTCCTAAAGTCGACCTCTGCTTTGTTCCAACTGTCATCTCACCCTCAACATATTGAGGATCAACAACATATGTGACATCATACATCTGTTGAATGTAATAAAAAATTGAATGCAACATATGTTTGTTGTACAAGAATGTATCTATGAAATCGTATCCTTCGATTATATTCGGCACAGCAAGTTTCAATAAACAGACATCGGGACACGATGACATGATTTTGATAAATCATAGTGGATGATACTTGCGTCAAGCTTCGCTTCGCCATCCATCGCCGCCATATTCGCCGCTAACTGGCGTAGAGTAGAATCGTTAATCGGAGCTAGGATAAAGTGTAACGTCGACGATCTCGCGAGCGATGCGCTCCAAACATATCAAGGAAGAGACGTCGTGCCGATCGACACGTCGTTATCCGCGCACAATAAGCTCGCGATAGAACAGAACGCCCCTCAGCTCGCCTCATTCGCACTACGATTCGTAATTATCGGCGATAAAGCCGTTGAAGCCACGCTGCATTTATCGATTGCGATGTTGCGTGCAAGCGTTCCTCCGGAACTGCGAATTCAACGAATTGAGAATATCGAGACTATCAACATTGACTCTCAATTTGATTTGAAGGACCGAGAGACGCCCGAGAGGAGAGAATGATGACTCCAGACGGTTTGATACATTGACAGGTGGCATTAGTGTCGCCAGTGGTGGAATTGCGGTGTGGCCGCGTTCGGAGTGAGATATATCAATCAATATCGTTGGTTAATACTCTTCCGACGGTGCCTCGACAGAGTGAACACCGTTCGGCGACATCGTTGCTGACTGGATGATTTTCATCGCGATGCTTCACGCATGGACGAGTCGATTGTCGCATACTTTTCTTTACGTTGTCGTGGTTGTGTCAATGTTGACAATACTCGCTCATGCGCAGCGGGAAATCAGGAAAATCGCCGAGTCAGCCGCGAGCGAGCCGCGAAAGAGCGGCGAATCCAAATCAAGACTCAGCGAAGAACTGTGTACGTGTTAATAATAAATTGAGCTTAACTTTTTTCTTTTTTTTCATCATTTTTTAGTGTTCCCTGGTGAAAATTTTTCATAGAATTTTTCATATAATTTTTCAGAATTTCTCTATAATTTTGTAACTTTCTCACATTTTTTATTACGAATTGGAATATTCTCAGAAAAACCACATCTTTTCTCAGAATTTTTTATATATGTTAATTATAAAATATCGTAAGATTTCTAAGATTTTTTGTAATATTTTGTATAATTTCTGAAATGTTACAAAACCTAAAAAATTTAAAAATACTTTTTAAAAATTATGGGAAATTTCAGAATATTCAGAATTCATGATTATATGAGAAGTTCTGAGAGAAGATGTAAACTTTCCGAATATTTCTGAATATTTCTGAAAAATGTTTCAATTCGTGTAAAAATTATGAGAAAAATTTTCACCAGTTGTCATTCAGATGCACTTTCTTTTCTATTTTTTTTAGCGGTAGCCTTGCACGTGCTTGCTTTAAATACGCTCTTAAAGAAAATTTTTCTCACACTCAGAATTTTTGTACGAATTGGAATATTCTTTAAAAATATTAAAAAAGTATACCTACGGTATATATTTTTTTCATATATGTGAATTCTGAAATATTATAAAATTTTTAAGATTTCTTATTTTATACTTTCTGAAAAAGTACCTCTTAAGCTCTTTTTCGAATTTTATGGATTTCATTTAGAAATTATAAAATGAGAAATTTTAGAACATTTCAAAATTTACACATATGAAGATTTCTAAAAAAATATATTTTCTTGGTATTTCTAAAAAGTATTTCAATTTGATTAAAAAAAAATTTTTTTTTAAAGTTACGAAATTATTCAGAGCTTTTGAAAAATTCTAAAATTTATACAAAAATTCTAAAAAAAGTATATGAAAAATTCTCGCTAAAGAGAAAAAATATTTGCAAAAAGGCAAAATATGAAAAGATATATAGTTAAAAAGGATAGAAAGTTTGTTCTTTGTAGCTGAATTAATGTACATTTGTTGTACTTAAAAAGAAATAATTATAAAGTCAGTAACGAAAGTTTTACGTTTAAAAGATCATTGTAAAACATAAAATTATAAATGGCCATATTTCAGTCAAGATAAGGCCATTTTTAATATGCAAATTATATAAAAAAATGAATCGAATACCCCAGATAGCAAAGCGTGTCTCAGTAAAATCGCACAAATCTGTGATTGCTTATGATACTGGTAACTTGCTATAGATTTGTCTTTAAATTTCGAATATATCGACATTACAGCAATTTCCGAGTCAAAATTTTGATACTGTTTTGACTATTATTCTTAAAGATAGTTTGTACCTATTTAAATACTCTATAAACTAGATAAAATTTACTTTGATGATATTACACTTAATAATTTCTACCTTTAAATCTATTAAATATTAACCTTTAAATCTATAGAATTTATTTTAATACTACTTTGAAGCTGCAAATGCTTCTCATATTTTGATGCTACTTTGACACTTAGATGATCCACGAAAAGCTATTTTAATAATATTATACTTATTAATTTCTTTAATTCTACAGCTTTAAACTTTTAATTCTACAAATTTAATTTTAATGTTACCTTGAAACTACGAAGAATCTCAAAATTCTAATGTTACTTTAATATTTAAATGCTTCATAGTTTGAAAAATCTATTTTGATGACTATCCTTATATGAATTTCTCTTTTAAATACTTTGATATGAATTCTATAAATTAATATAGGAGTTTCATTAACATTTTAAATTAATTTATATAAGGATTATCTATTCTTGATCAGAGTTAAAATAAAGTTAAAGATTAGAGTTAAAATTAGAATTAAAATTAAAATGATTAATTTACTTAAATGTATGAATATTTAAAAACATACAGAAAACTACTATTTAAATGTACGAATATAAAACTAATAAATATAAAAAAAATAATGAAATTTAAAATATATATATATATACTTGCAATATATATACTTATAATATTAAATTAATATTAAAATTATAAGAGCAGAGACGAATAATTTTATTCAAATTTCTTTTTATTAATAAATAAAGCAATATTAGATTATCAAAATTCATATAAATACAGGGTATTATAAGATAATTAACAGGCGTAGAAATTATTACAGAATATTTATAAAAAAATCGTTCAGTGAAATATTCAAATTGATAATCTGTAGCGGTAAATATCATCGTGCTTCATAATTTCACAAATAAATCGCGTAATGTTGACGACAATTACAAGTGGATTGATTTTGAAAATTTAATAAAACAATAAATAGTACCTAAATAAATAGTACCTAAATAGTTTCTTTCTTTCTTCATTATTCAGAAAAATATTGTACAATAGATGATTCTGCAAACTTCGATTATACATCTTAGATATATAAAGTTTATCATTATATTAAAATATTGATATATTAAAATATTATCATCACGGAATTTCACTATTGTTTAAAATTTTTGTAATAATGTCTGTAAATAGTTGTAATTTATAAATACCAACACTGTAGCAATGTAAATATTTCTTGTATAATCTTGACTTGCTTTTTTTTCTTTAAACAAAAAGTTCGAATATTATCATTTTGTAATAATTCTATTACTTTGGTCATTTTAATAAATTGATCTTGAGAACAGCCAATTGTGTGTCAATGTAACGAGTTCTGTTTATTAATTTTTAATAATTGACCATTTAGATTTTCATATTTATAGCATGTATAAGCTCATAAGGGTCCTAATTTTTTTACACCGTCTCCCAAATGTAATAATAAATGAACATTTATAAAGCAAAATTGAATTCCGTACATATCTTGAAATTCACGAACAAATCGACGCAATCTTGAGATATACGTATCATAAAATCAGTAACTTCATCAAAACTTAAAATAGTTATAACTTTAAATGCTCAAAATAATCTGCACGCATTATTCAAATAGGAATAGAGTAATAAAAAAAGAAACATTTTAATTCTGATGTCTCCCAACATATTAAATCTCTGCTATTGTAAGTGGCATACGAATAAATTTCGGAGGTTTTTATACTTATTAATCATCTATTGACAATGTCAATAACTGAATACAAAGAAAAAGCAATGAATATTTGTAATCGAAAAGCAATGTCAAAATTTTTTTACCGCCATTAACGCAATGCATGCAATCAATAACCATTCCAATAAAATTCGTTTTTTCCTTCAAAAGGTAATTTGTTAATACTAAGAAATGCTTATTTTTGACGATTTTAAAATTGGTACGTCAGTATACTACATGAAAGAAATTAATAGAATTTCGAAGAAAATCGGTATTCACCCATTTTTGATAGAATTGTCCATAAATGTCATAAATGTCTGTTATTTTTCCAGGTAATTGTAACGATCTTTGAAATCGACTTTGCAATTGTCATAAAAAGGTCTTGCATACATTTCTCTTAATTGATTTTTACAGGACAGTTCAATGAAATAAGTATTTTTTTTGTCCACACAATGGACAAAAATCTTGCATTGATTTTACTTCTCAATTATAAATCGTACAATAATAATTTAGTCATATTAATTTTATTTATATACGAAAAAATTTTCTAAATTTGTATAAATTATTTGTTTTTTAATTTTGAGATATACAATGAAATTCTAAAACTGTAATAATATCAGTAATACATGACATTGTAAAATTATGATGTAAAAGAAGAGATAAAATTAACATCATACTATCACAGTTATTTCAGCACCATAATATAATGGTTCATTAATTTCATTTTCGTCATCCTCTTGAGCATCATATTGCTCATTATTTCGATTATCCTCTTGATCATCATATTGATCATCATTTTGATCATTTTCTTGATCATCATTTTGATCATTCTCTTGATCATCATTTTGATCATTCTCTTGATTATCATTATGATTATCAACTTGATCATTATTTTATCTTAATCATTACTATTTCTATCTTCGATATTATACGTTTTATTAGAAATGTTTAAGTAATCACTTTTTCCGGAAGTTGAATCAATATCT